ATGGCAATGGCTCTTTTGCAAATCAAAAGAAATATTCAACTGGCTCTTCCCCACACTCTGTAGCTATTGGCGATTTTAATAACGACATCGTATTGGATATCGTCGTTGCTAATTCGGGTAACAAAACTGTAAGCATCCTTCTCGGATATGGCAATGGCTCTTTTGCAAATCAAAGGACATATTCAACTGGCTCTTTGCCATCATCTGTAGCTGTCGGTGATTTTAATAAGGACACCGTATTGGATATCGTCGTTGCTAATTGGGGTAGCAACACTACAAGTGTCCTTCTCGGATATGGTGATGGTTCTTTTGCAAATCAAACAACATATTTAACTGGTTCTGCTCTAAGCTCTGTAGCTGTTGGTGACTTTAACAACGATACTCAACTGGATATCGTTGTCTCTAATGAGGATGACAACACGATAAGTGTACTTCTCGGATATGGTAATGGTTCTTTTGCAGATCAAGAGACATATTCAACTGGCGAACGGCCATTATCTGTAGCTATTGGTGACCTTAACAGCGATACCCGACTAGATATTGTCGTTGCTAATTTTGATGGCAACAATATAAATGTATTTCTGGGATATGGAAATGGCTCTTTTGCAAATCAAATGATATATTCAACTGGCTCTGGCCCGCTATCTGTAGCTATTGGTGACTTTAACAATGACACCAGATCGGATATCGCCGTTGCTAATTTTAATGACCATAATGTAAGTGTACTACTTCGGTATGACAGAGGAGCTCTGGAAAACAAAATCGCATTTGCATCTGGCGATGGTTCTCTTTTACGAAACTTCGCCGTTTTTGATTTCAATAACGATAACCTATTGGATATCGCCGTTGTCAATTATGGTACTAATAACATAGGTATCCTTCTTGGATATGGAAATGGTACTTATGGAAATCAAACGGCACTCCCAACAGGCTTCAATTCTCATCCTTACTCAATCGCTATCCAGGATTTTAATAGAGACGGTCAAGCAGATATAGTCGTAGCCAATTATGGTACTAAAAATCTTGTTACGTTTCTGGGAAGTGGGAACGGAACATTCGAAAATCAAGCAAGTTACAGTGTAAAGTTCGATTACGCTCCATTGATGATTGGTACTGGTAGTTTCAATAAAGATGAACGTTCAGAAATTTTTGTCGCATATGATGATATCGATAATGTAGATGTGCTTGTCACATATAATCTCGGGTCTTTCGATCCTCAAAGAATATATTTCACTGGCAATGGGCCAAGGTCTGTAGCTATTGGCGATTTTAATAACGACACCCATCTGGATATCATCGCCGCTAATCAGGGCGACAATACTATACGCATCCTTCTCGGATATGGTAATGGTTCTTTTGCAAATCAAAGAACATATTCAACTGGCTCTGAACCATACTCTGTAGCTGTTGGTGATTTTAACAAGGACACCCGTCTGGATATAGTTATCGCTAATTTGGATGATAACACTATAAGTGTGCTTCTTGGATATGGAAACGGTTCCTTTGCAAATCAAAAGACATATCCAACTGGCTCTACGCCATTATCTGTGGCTGTCGGCGATTTTAACAACGATACTCGATTGGATATCATCGTCGCTAATCAGGCCGACAGAACTATAAGTGTCCTTCTCGGATATGGGAATGGTTCTTTTGCAAATCAAACGACATATCCAACTGGCAGTTTCCCACGGTCTGTAGCTATTGGCGATTTTAATAATGACACCTATCTGGATATCGTCGTCGCTAATTATGGCGACAACACTATAAGCGTGCTTATCGGATATGGCGATGGCTCTTTTGCAGAGCAGACGACATATTCAACTGGCTCTTTGCCATTATCTGTAGCTGTTGGTGACTTCAACAACGACACTCATCTGGATATCGTCGTCGTTAATTACGGTGACAACACTGTAAGCGTCCTTCTCGGTTATGGAAATGGCTCTTTTGCGAATCAAACGAAATATTCAACTGGCTCTAAACCAATTTTCGTAGCCGTTGATGATTTTAATAACGACAACCGACTGGACATCGTCGTCACTAATTGGAATGACAACACTATGAGTGTTCTTCTTGGATATGGCAATGGCTTTTTTACAAATCAAATGATGTATTCAACTGGCTATAGTCCTTCATCTGTTGCAATTGGTGATTTCAATAATGATATCCGACTGGATATCGTCGTTGGTAATTTAAATGGGCACAATGTTATGGTATATCTTGGATATCCCAAGGAAGGTTTTCTAAATCAAATGAGGCTCATAACTGGGAATGGATCTCGACCGAGATCGTTCGCCTTTGGGGATTTTAACAATGATGGTCAAACAGATATTGCAGTTGCGAATTCAGGCACTAACAACACCGGTATTTTTCTAAGATATGGCAATGGTGCTTTTGCAAATCAAATGGCATACTCAACTGATTCTTCTCCATGGGGTGTAGCAGTTGGTGATTTCAACAACGATACAATACTTGACATTGTCACCGTGAATCATGGCAATGACACTGTTGGTATATTTCTTGGATGGAGTAATGGTTCTTTTTCGAGCCAGAAAACGTTTTCAACCGGTTTCAACTCTCAACCGAACGCGATTGTCGTTGGTGATTTCAATAACGACACCTTGCTGGACATTATTGTCACCAATTATGGCACAAGCAACGTCGGTGTGTTGCTTGGATATGGTAATGGTTCCTTCGCTGATGTAAAAAGTTTTTCGATCGGTTATGGATCTCTTCCGTTCTCGATTTCCGTTGGTGATTTGAACAATGACGGAAAGCTGGATTTTGCCGTCGCCAATGAAGGAGCTGACAATCTAAAAATTTTCTTGCAGACTTGTTAATATCGCAACTTCTACCTTGAACTTTTTAAAATTTCATTCACTGTCTCTAACTTCTATTTAGTCTTACTAATATTTCTTGTAATCTTTTCTTATTCATCTTTTGATTTCTATGCTCAAATAAACTGCGGTTGAGAGTGGGTGCCTCAGCCAAAGTATGACGCGTTTCTATCCCGCTTAAGGATCTTATCACACAGTGCTGACTAAGAATCCATTCAAATGATTGGGAACGTCAAAAGTGTGATGCATAGTCTATAATTTTCACGGCAAATTCTCGAAAGACTCCCCATCATAATAGCAGATGTCATTACTGCAATGATGAGTGAAACAAACTTGGAGGCATTCGGACGTTGCTTAAGAGTCTCATCATGGTGAATAAATCAATTGAAAAACAGACTGGCCTATATGGCTGTGAGACAGATCAATCTGCTGCTATCAACTCTTACTTTTCAGAAATTGATAAAGTCGAAAACCAAAAAGCAATTTAATGAGAAAATAATATACTTTGTATAAGTAATAAATAAAGATAAATGTACAGCTAATTTCGCAGACGCGCTTTGTATTATTGTCAATTAGCAAACAGAGCGACCTATCTATTAACGAAAAGACAAATTCAAACTGCTATTCTTAACTTTGCCTTTCAGCAATTGATTTCCTGTCGAAAATTAAATAACAAGAGAATAATAATAGATAAATGTGCTGAACTAAAATAATTTAAAAGAAATGCAGAGTTAAGTTTGCTGATGCGTTTTGTGTTATTTATTAATATATTGAAACGCTCATCAGGACTCTGCAATAAAATTGAGACTTTTATGTGTGTACAGTTCGGAGGCGAGATCTTGAAATTGGAAGGATTTGACTACATTTATTTCTTTTAATTGCATTGCCTTCGGTGATTTTAATGTGGACCTTGAAAAGGATAAAGCCAAAGCTGAAATGTTACTATCGTGGTCGGATTCTATGTTTCTGTGTCTATTTACTCCAGACTCTTCGAC